AACAATCAAAACCATTCATCAAAGATAAAAAAAAAAGAACTTAACAGCAATTTAAAAACTCGCAAGATCGACACTGGTGTGAAATCAGTGCTGATTAAATTTTTTATTACGTCCATTTTGAAATCACTGGTGATCCTTGCAATAATCTGATTGGCTCTCATCGGTGCGATTTATTCACGAATCGCACACTTTTTCAACTTTAAAAACCAGCATAACCAATGATTCACTGTGATGATTATCTCACAGCTACGTTGATATGGACGAGGTAAGGCGAACCAGTAACTTGATTGTGACGACTACCTCCTTGTCCACTCAGGGTGAAGTCTGAAGTCAACTCTTCTTGTTATTCCTCCAGGATTCACCACCAAAAATAAAGAAATTAGCTAAGGCTCCTACTTGTTCTGGTTTGTAGCGTTCAAATGAAAAATACTGAAAATTGTTGCTCGCGTGGTAATGTTTAATGTGCTCAACAAGGTTGTTCTGTCAATCGCTTCTAACAGAGTATTAAGGAGGGACTATAGAAAAGGGGGGAATCGTTCACCAATCAGCTAAAAGCGCGGGAAAACGTACGTTGCCACGTCGCAATTGGTGTTTTGCCTTGGATCTGATTGGTCGTGAGGATGGTGCGAGTTTTTCCTGACCAATCACAGAGCTTATTTAAACAATGCAAAGGTAGTCTAGATTTTGTACGTTGGACACTCAATTGGATTCTGGGGCGCTTTCCATTCGACCAAAATTTTCGAGATTTCCCGTCTGAAATCAAATTTACGAAAATTTAGGCATACGTTTTAAGTGTGCCCTCTTAGATGGAATTTCCGAAATTATATAAACGTGTGTTTTCCATTTGCGACAGTTGTCGGTTTTAGTCTTCCTGCCGAACCTGAGCTCACGTAGGTACATGGGAAAACAGGAATGGTGGGCGAAGTACCACCAGTATATCAGTGCTTAGCTTGTGGGGGCATAATTTCCGCACAGTCCCATACTTCATTATGCATCCATAGATGGGGCTTTATTATTCACTGTATCACCAATAAGATGTGCATGCATAATGAAGTATGGAGCTGTGCGGAAATTTTTCCGGGCAGAATAGATGCGAAATATCCTGACATCCCGCAGAACGAGAATGTTGTTATACGTTAAGGTAAGGTTTGTCTCGGTCCAAATAATCTGCTATTGATTTGCTCAAAGGGGGGTCCTCAAAGTTTCACTCGTCAGTTTCCTCGATCTCTACCTTCTTATGACAAGAATGAACAATGTGTATCATTTATGTCTTAGTCTTAGTCTTTATTCCATCATAAGATAAAACTACATATCTTATGTTACAATGAATTGAAAAAACTACAGAAATCTACATACATATTATGAATTAAAAAGTATATCATTACAATAAATGGAGCTTAAATATCAACCTATTTACAAATGTGTTCATAAAGCGCTGTGTATTAATTTTCGGGCGCGCGCAGCCTTTTTTCCTGAGATTGTGTAGATATGTCTTTTGGACAGGAATGATATCTTTCAGGGGGTGGCAATCCATTGATTTTAGTTTCTTCAAAATGTTTCTGTCTTGTTTGTTTAAAAGGTTCTTGATAAAAACTGGAAATGAGATAAAACCGCGTTTATGACATCGGTCTAAAAATTTTTGTACAACCGTAAGATCGGACTCAGATGCCCCATAGACTGAAAGTGCATAGCTAAAATTAGCCAAAACAATCGATATAAAAAGATGATCAATCTCTGCCTGAGAGTAATGTTCCTTTCTCAATGTTCGTAGGACGTGTAAACACTTGTTTGCTTTGACAAGCTTAGTTCTTACATGCTCATCAAATTTTCCATCACTCTGTAAAGTTACTCCTAATAAAACGAAGCTATTACATTGGGGAATATTATTAATTGGAGAGTAGAGTACATTATGATTTTTCTTTCTAACAACCAGCTCTTTACATTTGCAAGGGTTGCAGACCATTCTATTGTCTTTACACCATGTTAAGAACTGTCCTACTAAGTCGGCAGACGGGTCACTATTCCTAGTGATAGGCAAAAGAATAGTGGAATCATCGGCATATTTAAAAAGCACAGGGCAACCATTAAAAAAAATCTCCAAATCGTTCAAAAATATATTAAAAAGATACGGTCCGCTTACACTACCTTGTGTGGTTCCTCTATTGACAAGTTTCCACTGTCCTAAAAAATTATAACTAACAACACGCTGTTGTCTTGCATAGAGGAAACTATGATACCAATTGATAATGTACGGATTTAGAGGTAGCTGTTTCAGTTTGGCAGACAAAATAGCATGGTTCACAAAATCGAAAGCCTTACTGAAGTCCATGGTAAAAATTCGCACTGCGCTATAGTCACTACTATCTAAATACTTGTATGTCTGGTGCTGGATAGCGAGCAAGGCATTTGTGCAACTACCCGCCTGTCTATATGCAAATTGGGTGTGGCTCAGGTTGCTCTCAATGACTGACTGTGCTTGTGTACGATACACGACCTTCTCAAACAACCGGGCAATAACGGGAGTAACATTAATACCACGGTAGTCCGAGTCCTCTATAGGCATGTTCACTTTGGGGAGAGGGTTAACATTTGCCCTTTTCCAGGAGTCTGGCCATGTATGAGTAGACAGCGACAGATTCCAAACGTGAGTGACGATTGGTGTGAGTAGCTCAGCACAGTCTTTCCAGATCCAGTACGGGAGGTCGTCTGGTCCCGTTGCGGTTTTCTTTACATGAACTAAGGTATTCCAGACACACCGCTCAGATATTTTCGGGGGCTTTACGCTGTCCGGGATATCCATATCACTAGGTCTAACGTAAGTGTCATCATAGCACAGGTTGGCGAAGTAGTCGTTCAGACGAACTAGAGAGTTCTTGTCCAAATTTATCAACGATGACCTGCGACGCTGCGATAGGGCGTCCACGCCCTTCCACTACTCACCGCTACCAATGGCAGCCAGTTTTCTTCTGTTCTCGGTTATCAGCTCAGAAATGCGCTTATTAAATAAAAACAGGCGTTCCTTATTCTTTAAAGATATATGGGACTTACTCCTCATCATACACTTGACTAATGGGGACATCCAAACTGGGTCACGCGATGACATGCGTACAGATTTTTGCGGCATAAACTTATTCATCACTGCACGAATCTTTACCTCAAGCACCTCGACCGCCTTGTTTATGTCCACCTCATTGAGGACGTCACTCCAGTCCAGCGCAGTGAGTGCCATATAAAATGACTGTTTCCGATGTTCCCTACAGTCCCGCACAAGAACTTTGCGGCGCATAGGTTTAAGCTTTAATCCCGCCGGTAAAACAAAGCCTTCATGGTCTGTCTTAATAAGCATATGTATGGAATATGCTTGACCGAACAGATCCGCTCGGTTGGTCATACAGTTATCCAAGCACGCGTTACCCCGCGTGGGAAAATCAACCACGAAATCCCAGCCAGACAAAGCCTTAAATTCTTGCATATCCAAACGATTTACATCGCCACCACAGACAATAGCCGCTTCTGGGTGTTTGTTCAACACAATGTCCACAAAAGATATTATATAATTAATTAAGTCGAGATCCCGGTAGCTATGCTTGGGAGGATTATACAGGCCGCAAATTAGCATAATGTGATCGGACGGCAACTGCACTATTAAAGCAATAAATTCATATAAATTGGACCGATAGACATCCAAGACTTTAAGACTGTCTCTCACATAGACCGCAACACCCCCTTTTTTCCTTTTGTCCAAGTCTGCCCAACCTCTGTCCCGCCTGAACACATTGTAATTTGGGATATTCACCATGGCGTCCGGCATATTAGTGGAAAGATGAGTTTCACTGACAATACACACATCAATATCCTGAGATCTCAGGTCAGCCTCAAGCGCCACAGGTGCTCGTACAGTTGCTCGTTATTTCAATTCAGACTTAACTGTTGACCAGGGAACCCTTTAAAAGTGGGACGACCGGTATGTTCACTTGCTAATAGAAACTTACAATCATCTCAAGCATCTTTTCAACACCAAGAGGGGAAAGATGACTAAAAAGCAGGTGTTCGAAAGAATTGCGGAATATTTGTCAGTGGCGATCAGTGTCTTTGAAAATGGACAAAATTAGAACAAAAGTATAAAGAAGTAGAACACAACAATAAAAGAATGGGAAGAGGCAGAAAGGATTGGAAATTTCTCCACAAAATGGCTGGTTGCCTTGGCCAAAATCCTAAAGTTAATCCAGCATTTACATTCGATGCATCAAGTGAAAGTCAGGCATCCAGATCAGAATCTCTATCAGCCACCAGCAGCACTACTAACAACGAAAACTGCTCAGACTGCAGTGATGAAGGTGTTGGTGATGAAATCAAGAGAGAAAGGAACTGAAACTTCGCAGGCAGCGCAAACGAAATGGTCATTCGTCAGCCACTGAAACGCTAACTTTCCTACAAACATATACCGAAAAAAGACAGAAGGCTGAAGAGGAAAAGTTAAGTCTTCTAAGGGTGATGAAAGATTGAAACAAAACCAGTTTTTTTTAGCCAATTTCTCGAGATATTAAAAAATAAGTATTGAAGAGATTGGAGAAAAAACCATCTGGCTTTTATGCAGATCAAAGTTTAGATTTGTTTGTTTTCTTTCCTAAAAGCAAATACCGAAAAAAAGGGAAAGGCTGAAGAACAAAAGTTAAACCTTCTAAGGGAGACGAAAGATACAAAAAGCAGTTTTTAAGCAAATTGTGGAGATATTAAAAAGATAAATGTAAGTATTTCAAGCTTTTAGGCAGATAAAAGTTCCTATTACTTGTTAATTAATTCAGCATTTCTATGTACATATTAAGATTTTTAAAATGTTTTGAAACCACCACAACCATCCTGGAAGCTCATGTCTCAATTTAAAATGAATTATGTTGGGTTAACCATGTACAGAGGCCTTGAATGCGAAACAGAAACTATTGATAATATATTCTCAGCAACAAAGCTGCTCCATGATCTGGTGGTTCTCGTTGCTCACTTCAACCATCTTCTATGCCATCAGCATGACCTGGTAGGAAATACCCATCATCAAAATCATCATATAACAAACAATAATTATGAAGGACACAAGAAGCAGTTATTATATTCACTGCCATGACTAAATCAAGGTGATCAAGATATTGAAGCTTTTGCCATCTTCCTTTGAGAAGAGAGAAGGATCTCTCCACTCTCTGGCGTACAGCAGGAAGGGCTGTGTTAAACTGCCTTTGTCTTCGTGTCAAATGGCCATTATCTCGAAATAGGGTAATCAACCATCTGAAATAAAAAAAATACGTGACGTCCAATTTGCCATAGAGCTGACTTAGCTAAAGATTTCTGTATGTTTTAACAAAAGAAAAGATATGTCATACAACATGAGTGTATTAGTGAAAACTGGTGCAATTATGGGATGAGCTTTACTGGTTTCTATATCACAAGCATTAAACATCAATGTATTCTTACTTAAAATTCATATTGAAGAGGCACATAGAATTTAGGGTTGAAGCTTTTGTGTGAAAAACTATTTTAATATATTAAAATAATGGACAATCTACTGACCTCAACAAAAGGTAACCCCCATCCCCAAGGAGATGTGTGTCACCTGGAAATTTAGTGGCAGCTGTTTGGTACAGCCCAGAGTTATACTGAGAGAACTCTAGAGTCGTGAAAAGAGCCAGGCCAACCTGCCACTATATCCAGAAACACCATATTTTCATCACATACTGTCTGAAAAGTAATAGAGAAAAGTTATGATTTATGTGGAGTCCATATTTTCTTAATGATATTGGAAGAAATGTAAAATGCTCCAAATCAGTATTTTGCACAGACTTTTGCTACCAATCCTTTAATGGGCTTAACATATGAAGCGGCTCCTCTGTAGTTTCTCAGCTTACCTGGAGATTTAGTGAGTGACATTTCTTCCAGTTTATGTAGGCATCTGGTTCATGCTCAGGGGCACGAATACACACGAGTAGCATCAATAAGACCAACAACACCAGGGAATTTCCCTTCGGCATGGAATGTTGCTTCAATTTCACGAGCGAGGTGAGCTGTTGATTTCAATTTTAATTCTGTTATCTCAGTATTTATAAAAACCACTGTAAACACTTTACTCACACACTGATATATATATATATATATATATATATATATATGTAAACGCTCACCATTGGGCCACTTAATGTAGCGATTTAATGTTCTCCGCATAAAGCAGGCAACTGCAGCCGGAAATATTGCATCGTGGTTGCTGTTGAGAATGGTACAGCTCATCATCGCAGTCATCCTGTTCTAACGACTCGTAAATATTTAAAAAGCCCGCTAACTTGAAACACAACAAAGTAAACCCAGCATGCTCTGTGTTGCAGAGCATGTGACCTCAAATTCTGGGATGCGGTCGGATGCGTTCCATTCGACCAGCGAAAATTTCGAAAATTTTGAAACGGTGATTTTTGTTGAATATAAAGCGCCCCTGCTCTTAACTTTTAGTTTGATTAACAAATAGAGAAGCCTTGACTGTTTATAATAAAGAATCCGTCAAATTCCCCATGCATTACTTTCAATTTTCAAAACAAACTTTATTTCCAAAGCGAACAACAATGTCGTCAGCATGCTCTATACTCTCATAGAGCACGCTACAATAAGCCAATCAGAATCCCTGTTAGAATGGTTCAAATGATCTGATTGGCTCTACAAGACAAGAGCTGATAAAAGTGTCAAACCATCAAAGTTAAAAAACCATCAAAGTTCACAATCTGCGATAGTTTACAAACTAAAATAGTTCGGCAGGTCGATTTTAACGCTTTTGTCTGAAGTTTTTAATACAGAATCTTACAAGTGACTTGTCCTAATAATGAGTTCGAAAGACCTTCGACGAGATTCGTGTACAACAAAAGCTCCTGTTTTAAGCACAAAAGTGATGTCTTTAAAGACACTCATGTAGAAGACGGAAGCCTCCAAAAGTCTCACGAACTTTCTTTATTTGGGGTTAAGAACTTTGGAAGCACAAACTTACTTGAGCATCACAACAGATTTAATATTCCTGGAAAACTAGGATTTGATGTGGGCAACTCTTCCTCAGGTGGAGAAACAAATGCTGCCGCAAGAACTCGTGTCTATCATAGGAAAACAAAATCTACCAAAGTAGAGATTGGGTATACTAAACATGACGGTGTCGCTGCAGTCCAAATGGAGGTACTTGTAAATGAATCTCCTTGTTGGGCGGCAAAAGCAACTGTAACAGATGTGAATCTTCAAGCGAAGTTTAGAGTGGGAAAGGTTCGTGACGCATATTCGCATTTTGTGGGTGCTTTTTTCTAAATGCACGTGCGTTTATTTGGAAGCGATTTCCGGTTAATGTCTATACTCCTTAATTTAGTAGTTGATCGACTTTTTCATGTTCAATCAATGACATGTAGCTAGGTTGTGGAGACTAGTCAATCAGTTAGGCAGGCAGGAAAGCAGTTGATCTACATTTTCATGTATCAGCCAATCATATGGAGCTTGTTTGTGGAGACCAGTTAGTCAGTAGTTCAGTCGGTCAGGCAAACAGGCAGGCACGCAGCTGGCCAGGCAGTAAATTTTTGGGCTTGACAGTCAGGCAAGCAGTCAACTGGTTAGCCAGTTGTTCAGTGCTTCACTCACGCAGATATGTGTGAGTTTGATGGTCAGACAGACAATGTGTCAGCTATTCACTCAGTCAGTCAATCAATTAGTTTTTCATTTAATCAGCCTGAAAGGCAGGCATCCAGCAAACAAATCAATCAGTAAATCATCCAGCTACATCCAGGCACGCCTCCATCAGCGAAAAGAAAAATCACCAAGATGCTGGAATATTGATCAATCATAACTTAACAATCAGTTAGTCAGCGAGTGAGTCGGTCGGTCTCCTGGTCATTCAGTCAGTCAATGACTCAATCAGGCTGGCAGTCGGTCAGGTGGTCTTTCATTCATTCAGTTTGTCAATCAGCTTGTCAGCAAGTTGTCTTAATCTCTTGGTTTTACCAAACAGGAATCAGAAGAACAAGCAAACAAGGACTCTGGAAAAGCCGCATTCTCTGGAGCATATCAGAATGATGTGAGTATTAACTTTTTTTAATGGGAAAAAAATTTAGCCGATTCTCTTCTCTCTGTTGGCTCGAAACGTCAGCTTTGAAACTCTTTACGATAGTCAATTTACGTTATCAACTCAGTTGATAATACTAAATTACTTCGTAGCTGTAGTTTACTTGTAGCTGGGAGTAAAGAGGTTATATTTTCAACATTTTTGGCTTATTTCATTTCTTTTGCCCTAAGAAACAAGGCAACTAATCTTTCCTACCCTCAATAAAGTCTGGCTCCTTATAATCTTTCAGATCATCTCAGTTTCCCGAGTGACTATGACATAATTACAATTAAGGCATTGAGAACATCGTCATTATAGAAAACCAACATCTTCTGCAACTCTTAGGCGATTGAAAATATTGAGACATATTGTTTCTTTCGATCGCCATATAACTGAATTTTGAAATAACTTTTTTTAATGCGTTTTCTCTTTTCTTGTTTGTTTTTTAATCGTTTTATTTTGTATTTTATCAAAGGAGGTGATGTTACTTGGCGAGGATGGACAAAGCAGTTTCTGATATTTTTAGCTTTGTATTTTGAAACCTGTGAGAGTACAAAAATGTAGTAAAAGATTTTTTAAGTAGATTTAAAGTGACTTTGTGGATTTTGTGGTGAAGTTCTTCATTACGTCATGTGCTATTGAGCTCTTCATTCAAATGTATGTGAAAGAATTGTCTAACTATGCGCAGATCAATCGTCACGGCACTAATTACTTTCAGAACCTTACGGCGGCGTGTTAAAGGATTCGCTTTCCATTGAGGAAAGGGACAAAGTTAAAGGAATATGTTTTTCTATGGTCAAAAGACAGCGGTCGTTCATTCCTTTCTTATGCTCCATCGCAAGAACTACATTTCTGTTCTTTATAACAGTTGTTGCAACTTTTTCCTTTGTCTTCCAAACCGAGAACACCAGTCAGAAAATTAGACGATAAGGTTTCTGGTATCAAATAATGTTTTTCGGAAATGAAACTACGAAACACATCAAAAACGACTAACATAATGCTAAGTACGTCAAAATACTGATCTACATGTACCCGACTTGACATTAGTTATAATACATTACGTTAATGTCGCTCCTTACGAAGTTCCACTGAAAACAGATTGTAGGAAAGATCATTAACTCGTGGTTTTGGTTTTCAGCGATAAAACAAATATTTCACAATTTTCTGTTTTTTCTCAGGTTCAATGTTCTATAGCCCATGTCCTCCTAAGTTGGCTAGCTATTTCTCATTTTTATCTTTAAATAACACTTTACAGTGGGCCGTAACTTTTCCTAGCTTCTCACACATTTCTCCACTTTGTTACAAGTGATCACTCTCTGATTCAATTAGAGCGTGAATTGCCTCAGAGATGCACTCGACTCTCACAAAAATTAGGCGCAGAATTTTTTTCGAGGACTTGATACACAATGTCATGAACCCTCAAATGGGCTTCATCTGGCGAAGTATGAGTACCCAAAGGCTGTTCGTGACTGTGGGGGTGTGCAACATGACCCTTAGTTGGGGTCTATAGGAAAAAAATTCTTCATTCACTGAGGAACATACTTGATTACCATTGTCGGGCTTTCGTAAAGGGGGAGGGAGGGGGAGCGTTGTGCTCCATTGTGTATGTGGTAAGAGAATTGGATGGAGAAGGATCTTGTGGCCTTAACGCATAAACTTTAGTAGGACTTACATGGATGGTCTTTGAAGCAGGTTCTGAACTCAAATTGGTTACTGATGGGGTTGTAACCGTCACCACTTTTGTTGTTTTTGTTGATACTGATGCAGGCGTGGGCGAGGTGACGTTTGCACCCTCAGTATAAACGGTAAAATACAACGTTATAGCCAAAGCAAGAGTAAAAATCTGACAGGAGAGAGGTCTTGTGGCTTTGTTCAAAGAGACCACCTCCGCGTATGAGATCCTAGGCTGATACTATTCAGTGAAATTACAAACAAAAACTTCCACAAGACAATACATAGTTCAACTCTTAACAACATAAACAACAAAGCTTTCACACTCGTGGCAAATTAGTCAATAATAACCCACTAGAAGCCTGTTATGGCCTTCCCTTTGTTAGCTACTGTCACTGTCCTCACGCTAAGCTGAGCAAACTTTGCGAGGCGCTTCTATTGTTGTTGTCATACTGGCAGTGGTGTCTCGACGACGGCGCATACAGGAGATCAACGGGCTCACCCCTCCCGCCTAGTTCAAAAAGGTATCTAAATGGCATACCTTAAAACGTCTACAGTAGACGACTGCGAGTAGTTGATAATTGATCACGAAAATTAGTACTGTCTGTCACGCTAATGGTTAGAAGTTTGTTGCGAAGTTTCTAACTTGTTTTCCTTCAACTTAAATCCTAGAGGAACTGATAGAATGGTATTCCTGGGGCATCTCTTCCTTAACCCTTTTAACTCCCAGATCAAATTTGTAACTCTCCTTTCAGTCAACCATACAATTCTTGTAATGTTAGTTCAAAGAATTTAGTATTGGATCAACTAATTATTCCCAAATTAATATTTTTCTTTATTCTTATCACTTATCTAGTTGATATCGTATTGATATTGTAAGGAGAAATTCTATCTTGGTCACTGATGGGAGTTAAAGGGTTAACTCGCACAATCCGATGAGTTTCACAACGCAATTGAGATGTAAAGTTTGCATCATTTCCATTTGAGAGTTGTTATCAATCTAAAGAGGAGAGCAATATTATCCAAATGAAGCTAGTGAAGCATTTCTCTCTGTGTCAACAACCCTGGAAAATTACAGCTTTCCTGTTCAACGAATATTGAGTCAGCGTGGTGGTCAATTATCATCGAATTTGGCTTTCTGACCAAAAAGGAACATAAAATTCACACAGAGGGGCTAAATATATTAGCAATATTTTTTTTCCAATAAAGCACGCGCACAGCGATAAATCCTGCAGGACGGTCAAGGTTTTGTCGCGGCCAACGGTAACACCTCGCCAGATCATCATGCCAATCTATTTTCGTGAATTGTCAACGTTTTGGGTCTAGATATGCAATGTAACTGATAAATTGCTTTCCAGCAGAACAGCGATAGCAAAACGTACTGCACCATCCACCGGG